AGTATATCTGATCGTGATCCAAGGTTTACATCGAAGTTCTGGGGTAAATTGCAGGAAGCATTAGGAACGAAATTGCATTTCAGCATTGCATTTCATCCTCAAGGGACGAAATTGTATTTCAGCACTGCATTTCATCCTCAGACAGATGGCCAATCAGAAAGAGTCATTCAGATCCTGGAAGACATGATGAGATCATGTGTTATAGAAGTTGAAGGCAGTTGGGACAGATATGTACCTCTCATGGAATTTGCCTACAACAACAGCTATCAATCAAGCATTAAAATGGCACCATATGAAGCATTGTATGGTAGACAATGTAGAACACCTGTGTATTGGACAGAACTTAGTGAGAAGAAGATTTTGGGTCCAGATTTGGTTAGAGAAACGGAAGAGAAAGTGGAAATCATCAGAAAACGGCTGAAAGAAGCAAGTGATCGACAGAAAGGTCTTAATGCTGATTTAAAGAGAAAAGGATATTGAGTTTCGGTCCGGTGTGGATTAAGTAATTTCTGAAAGTTTCACATGGAAGAAGATCAAAGGTTTTTGGGACGAAAGGGCTAAGGTTTGGACGAAAGGGTAAGCTTAGCCCTAGGTTCATTGGTCCATACGAGATTGTTGAACATGTAGGACCATTAGCCTATCGCCTAGAGTTACCTTCAACCTTAGATCGAATTCATAATGTCTTTCACGTATCCATGTTAAGGAGATACAGATCAGATCCATCGCAAGTGTTATCAGCAGAAGAGATTGAAATTCAGCCGGATCTCACCTATGAAGAAGAACCAGTTCAGATCTTAGCCAGAGAAACTAAATAATTGCGGAACAAGAAGATAGCATTGGTGAAAGTCCTTTGGAGGAATCATAAGACAGAAGAAGCAACTTGGGAATCTGAAGACACCATGCGACAACAGTATCCGCAGTTGTTCAGTTGTTCACAACAGGTAAACTTCGGGACGAAGTTTTTATTTAGGAGGGGAGATATTGTGACATCCTACCGAGTCCGAGTCTTTTGCAATAGTCGAGTATTTGCATAAAGTCCCGAGTCGAGTTGAGTCGAGTTGAAAACCAAACCCGGTTGGGGTTAGAATGGGATTATTAGTGGACTTTACTTGATTGAGAGAAAAAAAAGAGCAAAGTGTAAGGATTAGGATTTAAATGGCATTAAAAGAACAAAGCTTGGGTATGTAATTATAGGGATCAAGCTTGGGTATTAAGTTGTAGTCTTTTGACAATAGAGGTATCATTTCATAAGTTTCCATCATTTATCTTGATTTTGTGATGGCCTACCCGTAATCATCATTTTCACTTTCCCATTGTTCATCTTTATCTTCATCTTCTTCATCTCCTTCCTTTCCTTTATTTCTCCATCCATTTAGGCAACCTCAATTTTTCAACAAGTAAGTAGACTATCTTGAAGCTTATGTATTCAACCTCTTTGAGTTATATTGTGGAGAATTTATAAGAATTCTGATGTGTATAGGAGAAGGGAGTTCAAAGCTTGTAGAGAAAAGAAGCTAGAACAGAGCTCAAGCTTTTGGAGTGGAGGTTTGATATCTCTTTTCATTTCCTATTTTCTTTGCATGGAATTTGTGTGGTGTGTTGATGCTGAGACAATATATTGCTTCATGTTGAGTGGGTTGTGTTGGAGAATGGTAGTGGTGAGAAAACAGGGGAGGTATTGAGTTTATGTTGAAAACAGGGGATGAATATATGAAGTGGAAACAGAGTTTGCTGGAAATTTTACCAGCAACTTCATCTTGATTTTGAACCCATTTAATGTTGCATGGGTTTTTGAATCACCCAAATTGGATTTGTATATTGAGAGATATGACCAAAAGAGTGCAGACTGCGCAGGCTTCACGACCTGGCACTGCGTAGGCTGGGAAGCACGTCGCGCGTGCTCCCGACTTTGCACTGCGCGCTCGCGACTTGTGCTTCAAACTCTCTGACTCTCAATTGGCACATTACGCGCCCGCGACCTTGCAAGATGCGCTCGTGAAGTTGGCCCTTAGCCTGGAAGCGCTCGCGACTTGCATTGCGCGCTCGCGTAGTTGGCATGAAACTCACTGACTCTCCACTTGCACATTACGCGATCGCGACCTCCATGTGCCCTCTCAAAGTTACGCGATCGCGACTTATGCCTGATAACACACTGTCTCTTATTTTCTGCATGCTCGCGTCGCTCGCGACTTCCACAGGCGCGCTCGCGACTTGGCTTTTCCTGCATTTTTGGACTTTCTTTTCCTATGTAAATGGATTCCTTGCTCAACTTGTATGCATCCAATCATTGTAAAACAAAAAGACAACATTAGAATATGGATTAAAACAACAGGCAAGCATGCAAATGATGTGAAATCATATGAACATGATGATTTATGAAGTGATGAACTATTACTATGATGTTGTGTTATACTTGTGACATACCAACATTATGCTCCATGGGGGTTAGGTAGAAACCATGTAGATAAGACCATGTCGCGACATAGGATAGCAGATCTGCGCCTCATACAGTTTGTTACTCCGGCTACAGGCCGTTGAGTGGGGATATGATTATATGAGCCATAGCAGCCAAGTGATTATATGGGCCATAGCAGCCAAGTATACAGTATTCATCCAGTTTATACAGTTTTCTTATCACCTCGATTTCGCTATAACCTTATGGAGCCATACAGATATCTGGACATAACATTGCATAAATCATACAGATAAATGAAAGATATCATGATATGTGTGCTGTGCCTTGTGTGCCTACATGATTCTTTATATACAAGTATGTGCTTTATTGTTTCTTTCCATGTTGAGATATCCACTGAGCTTTATTTGCTCAGCGAGTTACCTGTTTAACTCGCAGGTTTTGAGACTAGTCCATAGAGGGTCCGTTTATCCGTAGAGGGTCCGTTTACAACTGCTGCCGCTTTCTTCTGTCATTAGCTGTAGAAGACTCAGTTCTTCAGGGGTAGAAAACCATTTGGTTATTCTTTTTTGTGGCATGTTACAGGGCACACAGTTGGGTCCGAATCCATTTTGTAACTAGTATCATGTCTTGTAAAGATTATAGACAGTATTAATATAACAGCATCAGCATGCTAGTATGTTCACATACAGGATGATGTTAGCATGACAGGACATATAGTCAACCAGTTTGTAGCGTCTCGTCTCGGTTTATTCGGGTTTACGGGTGGACCGAGAAGGAATGTTACAAAAACCTTTGGGTTATCCATTATTTGAAGCTCATTGCAACAAGCTGCGTCTTTGGTCTCCTACGACACAGCTTGAGGGGGGGGCTGTTAATGATTATCTTCAGCTCCAAATTCTATTCTATTCCTTAATTTATTCCTTAACTCAACAAATCTGTATCAAACGGGAGCTTGTCAAGGAAGCAATTGTAGGAATAGAAATATTCTAGTTACCTATCTGAATTCTAGTTACCTAATCTGATTGTAAATTATAGCCTAAATTAATGTAATTTGTTTTCTTTCTATATTAGCTTCCTGTACAGGCTATATATATATAGCTTTTTGCTAATGTTTGTAGATATCAAATTGTGAATACAAATTCTTAAATTCTTGTCTTTATTTTACAGCTTGGTCTCCTATTCTTACTCTCTCGGCTTTTGGAGGTGGACGGCTGTCAAGGGAGGAACGAATTGGTAAGGGTGTAACCTTTCTCTTCACTTGTTTATGTTTATATAGGGACCAAAGCATCACTTTAGGGCCGCTTTATTTTTCTACAGCCAAAGTCAATAAAATAATAAAATACTGTGATCAAACTTGAGGACAAAGCATGCTACAATGAACAAAATTGGTGCCACACAAAAACTGATTTCATGCTTCCAAATGACTTACTAAATGATCATTTTCAAAGTCATTTCAGGAGTATAAATTAGAGCTGACGTGGATAATTATTGAATCAAGCCTATTTCACTTCTCTCTTACTTTTTTCACTATTTAACGGAAAAAATGAACCAAATAGGAAAAATAAGAGAAGGGTTACTTTGTCAATTTCATATATTTTCTCTCACTTCTCTCTTACTTTTTTCACTATTTAACGGAAAAAATGAACCAAATAGGAAAAATAAGAGAAGGGTTACTTTGTCAATTTCATATATTTTCTCTCACTTCTCTCTTACTTTTTTCACTATTTAACGGAAAAAATGAACCAAATAGGAAAAATAAGAGAAGGGTTACTTTGTCAATTTCATATATTTTCTCTCACTTCTCTCTTACTTTTTTCACTATTTAACGGAAAAAATGAACCAAATAGGAAAAATAAGAGAAGGGTTACTTTGTCAATTTCATATATTTTCTCTCACTTCTCTCTTACTTTTTTCACTATTTAACGGAAAAAATGAACCAAATAGGAAAAATAAGAGAAGGGTTACTTTGTCAATTTCATATATTTTCTCTCACTTCTCTCTTACTTTTTTCACTATTTAACGGAAAAAATGAACCAAATAGGAAAAATAAGAGAAGGGTTACTTTGTCAATTTCATATATTTTCTCTCACTTCTCTCTTACTTTTTTCACTATTTAACGGAAAAAATGAACCAAATAGGAAAAATAAGAGAAGGGTTACTTTGTCAATTTCATATATTTTCTCTCACTTCTCTCTTACTTTTTTCACTATTTAACGGAAAAAATGAACCAAATAGGAAAAATAAGAGAAGGGTTACTTTGTCAATTTCATATATTTTCTCTCACTTCTCTCTTACTTTTTTCACTATTTAATGGAAAAAATAAGGAAATTGGACGGAGGAACTACTTAGGATGATAGATACACACGTCAGGATGCGTTGAATATTTGTCCAAAATGGATGGACTACTTAAATAATTTCGTCATACCTCAGGGACTAAATAATTAATTTCTCTATTATTATTTTGGATATAATAAGTTTATGATTTTTTTTGGATGTTTATGTTGGCTTAGGTTTGGCCCAAACTAGATTTACTTTTGGCCCAAATGCAAACATAACAATTAACAAGCAAGCTAATCGGAAAATACTTTTCTTAAACAAAAAGCCACTGCGTGCGAGCTTAAAATCGAGGCAACACGACACAAAAACAGAGCAGAGAACAGAGGTATAGAGAGAGAGAGAGAGATGGATCCGAAGCTAACGGAGGTATCGCAGCTATTCGAGAGATTCAAAGCAGCTTCTGTTCGAGAGGATGTTGATACTGCTAGCATTCTGCTTTCTAACCTCAAGGTGATAGGGTTCTATTTAGTTCAATTTCTCTATTTCCTGTTTATAATAGTTGTCGTTTGTGCGTTTGGTTTGGGCTTCTTTTTATATTGTATTGTTGTGATTTATGGATTAATGATGTAGAGAGTAGGAAGTTATAGTTTGAAAGTTGTAGATTTGTTAGATGTTCTGGTGGAGCTAACAGTGATATGGAATTTGTCTTGGTTTGTTTCACCTTTTTGCAGGTCATGTTGACTGGGTTTGGAAGCTTGCCACCTTTGTTTGAAGATACACCTAATGCTATTCATGAATTGACATTCGCAAGTAATTCTTTACTTATATTATGTTCTTCTCTTGTCGAATTAGCTATTTTTAATGTACCTTTTACAGTTTATGCATGGGATATATTAGTATTTGCGGATATATTAGAACTTCTTCCCTGTGGAAGGAGAAGACAAAAGTTCCAAAAGGGAATAAGCAAAATCTGAGTCCAAAGGTGACTTCACGGTGTAATTTTGGGACAATGTTTGCTTTGCTCCTTTCACAATCAGTTGCGATATTGTATGTGTAAATTGCCGGGCATTTGTCCATGAAAGACTTTCTTCTTTAAAACCTTCTCTTGCTATGCTTACTTTGTGTTGTTCTGGTAACAAGATTGCCATGTTGCATTACTTATTTGCTGTTATTGTCTCTTTTGAAAAAATGATGTAATTGGGAAATGACTGTATGTATCTATATGTCTATTTTAGTTTATTTTATTTTTCAAATTGAGATTCAGAAAAGGATTTCTAGAAAAACTAAGGCAGAGGTAAAGTAGATCCCACAAAAACAACTTTACTTATTGAGTTAAAGGTTCGGTCCACCTCCATCTTAGGAGGACTCAATTAGTATATAATTTTGAGTTTAGGTAGTTTACTCAGCCCAAATTGAAGCATAAGGATCCAATTGAGTTTTTTTGTAAAACTCAGGGCCTAAATTAAGTTTTTGCTCCCTCATAATTAACATGAATCTTCCCCTAATTACGGATAAGAAACTTAACTTCTCCTTATTGCAGAGCACTAAGTTTAGTTTAATCTTTGGAAGTAATTACTAGCTAGGAGATTGCGAGCAATTGTCTATAAGTAAAATCTAATATCAAAAGTTAAATCTCAATAAAGGAAGAAAATAAATGCATATTACCAATTAATGATATTACACGCAATTAATTTAATTGAGTTAACTTAATTACCTGGCTAGGCTTTAGCCTCGTGACTAAAATTGAGGCCCTGAAAAATATCACCTTGCATCTGATCAAGGAATGGAGATCATATTTCAGGAGGCTTGTATTGTTGCTGTTTGCTAAATTACAGTTTATGAAATCTGGAGATGCACAGATCGAATTGAAGCTAATTTTAAATGAATAGTTCTTAGGAAGAGGAAGACCACTGAAAGATATTGAGTTTATGCAGATTTAATGTTCAATAGTTTCTAAAGTTTGTGCTAGAAAATATTTGGTTTGTAGTTTGCCAATGTGTGTACTCTTTTTTTAACTGTTTTTTGTCTTTGTTTCTTTGTCACCTGTCTTATTTTTGCATGTTGAAAACTTTCAGGGGACATATATGAGCATGCTGTTCTTCTAAGTGTGAAGATAGAGGATCAGGATGCCTTTGAAAGGGATTTCTTTCAGTTGAAGCCATACTATACAGATGCCAGGTAACATTTCCATGACTTCTGTTAGATTAAGTTATTCACTTAGTCTTACAACAAGGCTTAGAAATATTATCTAATCGCATGTGCTAAAAACACGTGTAGCACAAGCCATATATTTAGTACAGAACATATAGGCTAAAAAATAGATTGAAAAATATAGTGCAAGAAAGTTTTTTGAACTCTAAATGATGGTTTGAGAAACAGAAGCCAGAAGTGGGAATTAATATATTAGTTATGAACAGTATCGTAAAACATTATTGGTAAAGAATTTATTGTCTTCTAATTTGGGGTGAGCCATAATTTCGTGGTATAGCTTCTATATAAATGGATGCCTGATTTTGCTGGTTTTTGAAAGAAGTCTGCATCTGTATTTGTAATTCCTGAAAGAATAGAGGAATTTCCTTTCCTAATATCTGCTGTAATATCTGTAGCTTTGGGCTGCTTCAATGAGTCAAAGAAGCTGACCTTATGCTATTTAAGTTCACCTGGAAATGAAACTATGTACTAGGCGTGTTTTTTTTTTTTGTTAGCATGTTACTTAGCTAATAGATGAACTTAATCTAATACATGGAGAATGCTAAAAAGAAAGCATGAGATGTACATTGCTTATGCCCTTTGAATTTTACAAGCCAAGATATCATTGTTTATTTGTAGATGAGCTAAACTTAAAACCTCCTTTAATGAAATGTCAAGTTGTGGAATTTTAGGTGGTTTTGGACCAACAGCTGTGGCAAGTACATTTCAAATGTTAATTAACTAAAACTTACATTAATGGAGAAACCAAAGCCTTGTCCAAGAAGCTGAGAAGGATGACTAACATGGTGATGATTCAGCCAATTGTCATTCTCCAATTTTCTGGTAGACATAATTGACCCTGCACTACAAATAATTCAAATAGATTAATATGCATCTTATTTAGGGTCCACATCAAGTTATATACCTAAACCAGAAAATCTTTTAACCATCTGTTGTTTGGTTTTCCTTCTCAGGAGAAAATCAAAGTGTTATACTTTATTATTTAGATCTCAACTTTCATCCTCTACTAGCCTGCTCCTATATACTTAACAATTCCAGGTGCCAAGTAAAAAAAATTAATGAACCTGCTAGTTATTGCTTTCCTTGGTTAGAATCCCATAGTTGATGTGTACACTATATGTTGTTAATTTATTATCGGTAAGGTATTGATTTTCATGACTTCTCCTCCTTTCCTTTAATGGAGCAGTAGCCGTCTTCCTCCATCTCCCCAAGAGTACATGATTTTAGGTCTCAACCTCTTGAGACTCCTAGTGCAGAACAGAATTGCTGAATTCCATACAGAACTCGAACTGCTTTCACCTACTGCTTTGGAAAATCCTTGTATCAAGCATGCTGTGGAGTTGGAGCAATCCTTCATGGAGGGGGCTTACAACCGTGTGTTAAGTGCAAAGCAAACTGTGCCGTATAAGACCTATGATTATTTCATGGATCTTTTGGCAAAGACAGTAAGGTAATTTGCTTAGTTTCATTGTTTATTAGCTTAACTAACCATGGATGTTGAAGTTTGAGCAATTGGTCTGTTAGTAATATGTTTATGGGAGGATACAATTATAAAGACGTGATGTGATCTTATTTATACGTAAACATATTTCGAGTGTCAAAAAGCAACTTATCTCCCAACTTCATACTATCTTAGTTAATAATACAAAGAACCATTGGAAAGATAGATCGGTCATTCCATATCTATTGTTGGTTTTAACCAAGTGGGTCATACCATACTCAGTTAATATCCTTTCAGTGCAGCATGTGGTATTGGATTCTACTATGACTATCTATCTCATGCCGTGCCTTTGAGGTAGATATTTGTTTGCCACTGTGTCGTCCATCTGTGTTGCATGAATACTGCATTCTTCTTGCTAAAATGTGTTAAAACTTATATGTGAAGTTCAGTTGACTGTGTACAGTTTTCCCATTGAGAAATGAATATCTGAAATTTTGTATTATAAGGTTGAGATACTTAATCCAGGAAATGTATCTATTTGCAAAATGATATGGTCCTTTTTAGTTCATTAAATTTTTCCCTTGTCCCTGCTTGAGCTTTTACGCCGGAACATCATCCTTTTCTAGCTGGAGAACTGTATCAAGTTGGAAGATGAAGGGTTATAGTCATTGTGAACAACATTGTTGTAGAATGTGGAAACATTTCCTTTTAACTTCTTTGTAGTGCAAATTGTTGAAAGCCTCAATTCCTTCTGTAGGATTATAATAGCATGCGTGTACTTGTTATATCTTGGAATTCTCACTAGTTGATTCTGTTAAATTGCTTTCAGGGATGAAATATCTGGATGCAGTGAAAAGGCATACGACTATCTTTCATTAGATGATGCCCGCCAAATGTTACTCTTCTCTTCTGATGGTGAACTTTTGCAATACATCAAAGAGGTACCAGAAGCTAATATTTTTTGTGCATTCATTTCTTTTCTATATCAAGTTATTGAAATTTATATGATATGTTTCCTTTTTGAGTTGTCCAAAGTTACATGAACTAAGTATTTTGAAGTGCCTTTGGATCTTTATTCAGTTTTTGCACCAAGTCCTAGGTTAGCCTTTCTGATTTTGCAAGGTTTCCAGTAGTTTTGCTGGGGAAGCCTTAACCCAATGCTTAAAAGTATTCTGGGGAAACAAGTTTTAAGGCACACTTTGCCTCACGATCAATTTGATCATGGGCAATTTTTGGCTTCCTTTTTTCTTTATCTGGTTTTTACTTTCTCTAGGAACATAAATGTGACATATTCTATTGTCTAATGCAGGAGCATCCTGAGTGGGAGATTAAGGATGGTCTAGTAATTTTCCAGAAGGCAAAAGAAACTGCTCCATGTAAAGAAATACCATCTCTACAACTCATCAACCAGACTCTGAGTTATGCAAGAGAGTTGGAGCGAATTGTGTAGAGGGTTGCCTGCAATTGTCTGCAGTTGCAAAACTTCTCTAGTTAAAATTGTTCCTCTATGATAAAGTTAGACTTGTTAACTTTTTTGTAACTTAATTTGTTTACTTTGGCAACACAAATTTGATCATTTAGGAGCTTTCCTTCCCCCTCCCCTCCTCTTGCTTGGTTAATACTTGATACTCTAATATCTATACGTTTAAAATCAGAACAAAACATGGATTGCATTCTTTCCTGCTGGGAGAAAGTCGAATTTACCAATATGATGACTTGTTGATTGGAGAATTGGAATGTATAATGTGTAGCCATCACTTGTCTTCTCTTGTTTTGGCATGCTTTGGGGAGCTAAACGTACTATTAGATTCAATTCTTGACTAACGCCCATGTGAATCAGGCACCTCCTACACTAAACATATGACCAGTCAATTGGGCGCTCATGTTCCTACAGAAGAAAAAATAAAAAAGGGGGAAAGCTGGGATGATATTTGACCATCTTTTCATTTGGTGCTGTTGGGTTTGAATAACAATTAGAAGCAGTGAAATAATATAATTAAAATAAATTAATTATACCAATATGAATCCGTTTAAACAATTAAAGCAATAAAATTATTCAGAAGAATATTTCTATTGTAGATTCTTTAAACTTCGATCTACGCGGCTAGATTGTCGCAAATCACAAGCCCGTCTAAATGTCTGGTTTCTAGTAGTATCCACACGAATAGAGGGTTAAGAGGTTAGACCGTATGATGATGCTAGCTATCGTAGGCTCTATGTTTTGTTTTGTAGCTACTCAACTACAATCTTTTTACTGTCTCTTAAACCTTATATATAAAAACCCTAGGTCATAAATAAATAAATTATAATTATTTATTTAAAATTTTTACAAAAATAAATTATAACTAAAATATATATGAGCCTATTTATTTATTTTAACTTATAACTAAAATATATATGAGCCTATTTATTTTATTTAAACTGAAATAAATAAATCCATAATTATATAGTAATAAGCATTTTTCAATTTAATCCAATTTTATTTTTATTTAATTTCAACTATTTTAATAAATAAATCGTAATTAAAATATTAGAATATTAGGTTTATTTAATCTAAAATTTAGACATAAATCAATTAATTCAATACTTAATAATTTAGGTAAAATTGTAATTAAATATAAATTACAATTTGCCCTCAACATCCCAAAACTAATTTGTAATCAAATCATACTTGATTTGATTTCTCGTTTTCATTTTCTCATATCCATTCTTATATGTGTGACATTCTAGGTTCCAAATATATTGGTAACAAAATATAAATTAATTTGATTAGTTAATATTTGAAGATTAATTACATTGTCTGAAAACATGTTAAGACTACCCAAATATTTGGAAAGTCAAGGTGGTTTGACTTAACCTTTCAGTACGTGATTTATCAGTGTAATTAATATCCCTTCATCATTAATGTTCTGATTTAGTAATTAGACATGGTTTTCTTAATTTTAGTCATTGATCAGTTGAATGAAATTCCAAATCTAATTTGCTAATTTCCTTATACCTTGTACGAGGATTTCTTAATCAATATTAGTAGAGAACAATCAAAACATTTTTCTTAATTTACCTAGGATGATGAATTTTTTTGTTAATTATACAAGTATCTCCATACAATTCCTACTATGTCCAATTAAATATTGCTTATTATTCATATAATGAATAATGTGTATGAACAATCAAAACATAATCATCCCCATATAAGATAACTTAGTAATTTCAAGTCAAATGATCACTTATACAATCATCACTTGAGTATTCCATATACACAGGTAACTCTCCATAAAGAATTCTCGTGCAGGTCATTTCAGTAGACTTGTTTAAATATAACAAGTCTCTATATATTAGTTCTATATATCACATATATCTTAGCTTATGAAAACAACTACTTCCTTAAGGAAAGAACATAATATGTACAAGTCTCAACAGCTCTAATCATTGTCCAATAATGGGGAGAACATTGACCAGGATTATTTAGAGATATTGCTTTAATGCAAAAACAAAACTCATAATTATAACTACATTATAATTTATTTTGCAAAGTAGTATTTTCTCATGGACTTTATCTTTTACCAAGATTCAAACAATAAAAAATAAAAAATAAATAAATGTATTTTTATAAATAATAAAATAAATAATTATATCCAAAATATAACCAATCAAATTGGCTATAGAGCATGTAACTAACAGGTGCATCATAAAATTCTTAATTTGAATGAGGCTTGTACCTGTATTCTTCACTAATAAGTAAGCAGTGTTAAACTTGGTTGAGATGTACGGGTTGTTTTTTACTTCTTGCATATGAGAGAGCTAAACCGCTCTCCTTAGGCGTAACTGTAAAGCTTTATAGTTAAAGAAAAAGAAATAAAGGGCAATAAAAACGGTAAATATTTTGAAAGCAGATGAGGAGTTGAACTTTCATTCCAAAAGAAAAGCATTGAAATTTCACTATCATCTTTTGTCATAGTCAATAATAATAAAATTAAGAAAAAAGAAAGACTCTTTTCCTCTTATGTAGTGTTAATACATGGTAATTTATATGGAATAACGACTTTACTTCAAACTGGAAATGGGTTTTGGATTGGGATTTTAGTTGCTTAGTAACAAGAAATCAAGACCAGGTTCATTCATGATCTACTTCTTGTCGATTATGAGTTTATTTCTTTTGTAGTAATATCTTTTATTCATTTTTATTATATTTTTCTTGAATATATATTATAGAAGGTGAATTGGTCCTTGATTAGTTGAGCAGTTAAAGAAAAGCAGGTTTAACTATCATGGATAACAAGACTTCATCATCATCATCATCATCTTCTTCTTCTTCTTCAATTTCTGGCTCTCAAGAAAAATATCCGATCACGATGAACTCTTTCATTCAACAGACTACATAGTTTGCTCTTTTCTGGAACACTAAAGGTGAATTTTCTAGCAATCTTGCAAAACAAATGTGAGTTATACTTGAAAAATCTTATAATGGCTTAATAAAGATGGTAGCATTTCTCAGGTTTCCTTATCGTGCCTGCTTTACCAGTATTGAGCTCTATGTGCATAATTTTAATGCAGAGGACATTCAAGATTGAAGTCTCCACAGTTTTCCTCAAGAGGAGGATACTTTTACGTTTGCAAGTAAATCGATCAATAAAAGACCAGGTTTCTGCAAATGAATTTGTTCTTTATATAAAGAAATGTTGTTATAGAAGTTCAATCAAATCTCTGATAGATAATACCTTAGCCTTGTTCTTTTCCTGTTGCAGTAAAAGAAGCTTTGGATAGTTTTAACACTGGAAAATAGTATCATACTAATTATCTTCTTTGAAATTAGATAAAAGAGTTTCCCTTCTCCACAGCGATTTCCATTCTTAGAACTCTTCTTCCTAAGAGATGAATACCTCTAAACAATGGTAGTGGCCTGCCCAGGGTTAGCACATCATCTGAAGTTGTGAGAAATTGTGAAAAATCAGACATAACATAGGGAAGTATATCATTATGAACACTTAAGCTATAACATTGAATTTTATTGAGTCCTCTCATGTATATTTTTCTATATTATGATTATGTTTTTTTTATTTTTGAAAAATCATTTTTCTTTTCTTTTTAACAACTCTGTGCTAATTAGAAAACCATAAAAATATATACAATATGATTTTATAATCTTACAATAAATTCAAGTTGTAAGCATCTCCCACAATATAAAAATAAAACATGAAATTACAATTCACTCCACCCTCATTATTCGCGCCTCTGTGACGATTTGGAAACCATGAAATTGCAGTTTTACCCTTCAGACCAATTTATACACCTACGGCTACTGAAAGAAAATGGAAGGCTAACGAAGAATCGCAATGACAGGCGGAAAACTCGAACCATTTGACTTTTTCTTTTCCATTTTCTTTCTACCAATTCTCCAATCTTCAATTTCCTGGAAAAATGACTCAAAATTACCCCTGCAAAAATTTTACGTGTTTGTTTTAACAACTAACACTACGAAAACAAAACTAGAAACGTAATCTTTCGATTGATCAAATTCAATATTTGTTTTCCCAAGTAAAGAAAAAAAAAAAAAAAATGAAAAAAAAAAAAAAATTGTCTGGTTTTAGGTCGTGCGTGTATAAAGCAGTAGAAGCGGGAGCGGGAGGAAAATAAACTTAATCCCAAGTAAAAAAAAAAAAAAAAAAAATGTCCTGGTTTAGGTCGGTGGTGTATAAAGCAGTAGAAGCGGGAGCGGGAGGAAAATCAAACTTAACACGCAAAGTCCGCAACTATGCCGACACCGTCGTTCAAGCCGGCAATGCCGTGGCGGAGGGCGCCAAGATCATCCAGCACCGTATTGTAATCACACTATGCATCTTTTGATTTTGTTTTATTCAAATTTTGTCTTTTTATTTTTCAATCGTAAAAGCCAAATGGGTAATGGGCAACCAAAACGCGAACCCGAGATCATTCGGGTTAGGCCGGTTGAAATCACATTTTGGTTTTTATTTGTTATGGTTGCTCTAATGGAATCGAGATTTTGTGTTTTTGGACTGATGAAATAGGGGTCTGGGAACTCGAAGAATTTTAGGCTTACTGTCAAAAGATTGGATGAAGTTTCTGTGTCTTGTAGAGGGGATGAAAGAGTTCAATTATTGAGAAGGTGGTTGGTTGAACTTAAAGAGATTGAGAGAATATCTGCAGCTTATCCTGAGAACAATGACAAGCTTCCCGACGAACAAATTATCCCTGAAGACTCCAAGGATTCTCCCAGAAAGGCCACTGTGGTGAGTCACTCTATGTTTCGTGTTCTTTGGTTGTTTTTTTTAGTTCATTGAATGAGCAATACACAATGTAGCTTTCTCGACTTGAGACTTTCAATATAGAGCCTAAGCCCTTGTGGGCTGAAATATTTCCTTGGGAGGCATTGTGCAAGTGATAATTCAATTTCAAGGCAAAGTATTTCTCTATTTGGAATTGGAGCTAAGGCTTTCAATTGGATTGCTCAGGAGTTTTGGAAGTAGTTTAACCATTGTGAATTTAATCATTCATATGAGTAACAAAATGTTTTTGTATGGTTAGGTGAAATTTATCAAGAAAATATATGTTTAAATATGAAACTTTTTTTTTTGTCTCACTCATCCAAGACAAGTGTGAGTTTGACATAAAGAGCAAATAATTTCTTTTCGTTCTATCTGTCCTCTTACTTTACTATTCACAACAGCAAAAAGGTTAATATGACAATGCGCACTAAGTCGGCTTTCAAAGTTAAATGCATGTAAGCTATGAATACATATGAAAAAAATTATATGTGGATTTTTTTTAAAAAAATTCTCATTTTAATTCTCATTTAAATTTGGTCAGGTTTATTATGTTGACTCTGAGCTTGGGACAATGACTTTTCATGATACCTTCCTTCACAGTCAAGCTCTTGAAGGCATAACATTATCTGTGGTAAGTTAAATTGTATGTGAATGAATGGCTTTTGGAAACTTTTATTGTTTACTTACTTTGTCACTTCTTAGTAGGTTAATGAACCGTAGATATGGGTACCGATAATTTCTGATCAGATTAACTGGCATGCATTCTTTTTATTAACATTCATTCACTACAGTGGAGAGGTTTGTAAATTCAGAATTACCACCTTTTAATATGATCAAAGTTTTGCTTTGCTTTTATTACTCATAATGGAGCCCAATTGATGAGACACATTCCAATTTATTTGCAAGAAGAGTTTTGATAGTTACATTACAAAGCCGTATTAGTATACTTACTCTTCACCCCAATTTTATATAAGTTTTGAACTAGATCTTGGAATGAAGTTCATCAACTTGAGAAACTTTTATAATTGTTACTATGGGAGCTTGCTTATGCCATGTTCCCCATAGTTACCTGATTCATAAGGCCCCATGATACAGCAATCCCAATTGTGCATTCCTATTCGTTGTACTTTTATGCTCCTGATCACTTTGGTGCAAGAATTGGATCTCCAAAACTAGAGTTCCCCACAAAAATAATAGGGAAGAAAAAGATGAAAAGAAAAAGAAGAAGATGGAGGAGGAGATCACAAGCTTTTTTTTTTCCCTCTCTTTTGTTGTCTCTTTTATTGCTTTGTCTTCCTCTAACAGCGCAACAAGTAAAAAACTAGGTAGTTTTTGCGTTTGTTTATTTTACAACTGGAACTTCTTAAAGCCTTTTTTTTTATGAACTATGTGGTATCCTAGTGGGCACAAATTTATATCAGTTTAATTGTTGATAAGTCCCTCTACCATCATGCCAGGATTGGTAGGGTTAAAGGCCTCCTATCCCATGTGAGTGGTCCCAAACTCAGGTGTCCCAATTGCTTACTATTGAGAGCCACACCTCACGAGAATTTTCATTCTACGTTTGGATCTCTTAAAGCAATACCATAGCCTTGTTTTTAACTATTTAAATAAAAAAAGACAAAAATCCCATTCGTATAACATAATAATATTCTTCTCAGTACTAAACAAAATATTATTTTTACAGTTAATATTAATATTTATTTTTAATGAGAAGCCTAGCGACTCAGATATGTATAATTCACGTACTAAGTACCAAAATAGCATACCCACAGTGTACCATAATCTAGCTAAGTTGCATACTGTGCACCTGTACCCATACCATGACTAACGTCCTAGGTAACTATGTTGGTCCAATTGAAATTGTTAAATAATGCATTAGTAGCGTAATATAGATAATATATAGCATCATGATCGGAAAACAACTTGTTGCATTTTGTGTGAAGAGAGGAATTCTCATTCATATGTAAAAAAATTTACAAGCCTATTTATACATAGGACTAAGACTATAAGTAAAGAACTCAACTACCCTTTACAATAAAGAATAATTTCCTAATTACAGTACTATACAAGACAACATTTTCCCTCAAGTTGTTGCATAGATATTACACATGTCCAATTTGCATACTAAGTTGTGAAAAATCTTGCTACTTAGCCCTTATTTGAAGATATTTGCCTGTTGATTATCAGAAGTCACATGAGTCAGCTTCAAAACACCTTGGATGATTCTCTTTTATAAAGTGTCTATCAATCTCTATGTGCTTTGTTCTATCATATGCTGAACCGGATTCTAAGCAATGCTAATAGTAGTTTTGTTATCACAGAACAAGGTGGAGCTTTTAGACTGTGAAAGCTTCAATTCTTCCATTATATTCCTAAGCCATAACAATTCACAGACTCCTTGAGCCATGGTTCTATACTTAGCTTTTGCACTTGAATGAGCTACTACATTCTGTTTTTTACTTCTCCAAGTAGCCAAATTTCCTCCAACAAAAGTACAATAGCCTGAAGTTGTTCTTTGGTTATTTGGAGATCCAGCTCAATCTGTATCAGTATAGGCCTCAGTTTTGAGATAGCCATGCTTTGAAAGAGTATGCCTCTTCCAGGAGCTAGCTTTAAATATCTCAAAATACAAAAACTAGGTTCAAGATGAGAGTCACCAAGATCATGCATATACTGGCTAACTAGACTCATAGCATATGTAATGTCTGGTTTAGTATGTGAGAGATAAATCAATCTGCCAACCAACCTTTGATATTGGCCTAGATCAACTAGTTTTCTAACTCCTGCTTGTAATTTGTGATTGACCTCAATTGAAGAGTCAGTTGGCTTACATCCCAACATACATGTTTCTTCCAAAAGATCTAGAACTTATTTCCTTTGAGCAATGAAGATCCCTTTATCAGATCTAACAACCTCTATGCCAATAAAGTGTCTCAAACCCCTTGAATCCTTAATCTCAAACTCTTGGTAATCAGCACCATAAGTTTGTGTGTATCCTTTTACTACCAACCTAGCTTGCATCCTACTAGTTTCTTTGCTACTGAAGAAGTAACAAGGTTTCAAGTCTCATTCTTTGCCAAAACTTTCATCTCCTCCACCATTACTTCCATCCATTTTGGATCCTGATATGCTTCTTGCTAATTCTGTGGAATAGAAACAAAAGAAACATACAAGATAAAGGCTCTATAGGAAGGAGATAAAAAATCATATGATACAAATTGAGATAGAGGATGTTTGGTATAAGATCTCACACCCTTCCTGAGAGCAATGTGAATATCAGTGTCACCAATAACATGATTACCAATGGGTTCAGAATCACCATTATTTACTATAGGGGATACATCAAAAGTAAAGACAGTACAACTTATAGGAAGCTCACCACATTGATTTTCAGGAACTAATTGCAAGGATGACGATTAGGTCATATTCCGCATCCAAATCAGCAAGGAACTCATATATCCGCCCTGTCTAAACCTTCTTTTGGTATCCTATCACATCCTCCGCTCACACTTGGGATGATAGGTCTCATAGTAATCTAGTTGTCACCACAAGTCATTCGATGCAGCATAGTATTAATTAACTGTCAATTCCCCTTGCTTTGAGCAATAAACTTTTGTTGCGAAGCTCATACACCCATGCAACATTCCCATGTTAGGAGAATGTTCTAGTACCAGTTTTCCAGATTTTTGCTATAGTATCCAACAGTAAATACCCATTTGCAATCCTAGGCTCCATAGAGTTGATAAGCCAAGACATAATCAAAGAATTTTCGGAGTTCCATTGATCATAAGTGGCATTTAGAGGTGCCGGTGGGCTTTTCTATCATCCCAGGCTCCTAGCTTTGATGAATAATAAGCATGACCTTGACCAAACAAGGTAATTTATATCATCAAGTTTAATTGGGCTGATTTGTAAGGAAGGGTTGTCATCTGAGGAGACAACTTTAGTGTCGATGGTTTGTGTGTCATCAACCATTGTTTTTTGCCCAGAAAAATAGAAAATCAAGTATGAAATCAAAAAATAAACCTAAAAAAGGTAAAAACAAGGGGAACAACCTTGGATTTGAAGGAATCAGATCGAGATAATAGGCTAGGTAGAGGTGCAACAGAGGGGCAAAGCCGCAGGAGTAGGGAAAAGTCGGAGGTCTGGCCAGAAACGGCGTCACGCACTGGCGCGTAGGAGAAGCGGTAGGAACTTGTGGTGGCGCGTGGACTCACATGCTTCACCGTATGACAATGAAACTCTGGGCACTAGCCGATTGACAGACGTTCTTCCTACTCCAATGGGTGGTGACAATCACCTCCCTCTCTCCGGTTGCCTAGGAGCTTAACCTAACCTAGCTTCTCTCTCTACTGCTTTTCTCTCTGTAATGTGTGTGGGCTGAAAAAAGGTCAGAAAAATGCTCCGGTACCATGTTTAGTTTTGTGTGAAGAGAGGAACTCTCATACATATGTAAAAGAGTTAGCTGATGGTTATTCCCAAGATACCGTCATTGCTTCTTCTCCAAGTTACAAGCTTATTTATACATAGGACTAAAACTATAAGTAAAAAACTAAACTACCCTTTAATAAAGAATAATTTCATAATTACACTACTACACAGGACAACACAACCTATAGAAGATGAGAAAGAATTATAGCTTTTAGAAGTGAATTCTATACAATTTGATTGTAAATTATTTACTTTGTGTCATTGTTTGTTGTATTTTAGGTGCATTCTTTGTCCTTCACAGTGTGAACTGATTTCTTTCTTTATCAATGAAGTTCCTTTTATTATATGTAAAAAAAAAAAAAAAAAATTAATAATTGAAGGTCAATTCAATTAAGTATCTCTTTTGTATTATGCAAATAAAGGATACTGATTTTTTTTATACACTTAATTGCAATTAGTATGCGAATTATGGCTACTGTAGTTGGGATTACTTCTGATGAGAATTTTGTGAAGACTGATTTGATCCCTATAGTTTCCATAGAGTTGATGATCTGATAATCCTTGGATTCCCTTGCCTCTGTCATTTTATCGACATCTTTATTCCCAGGAATCTTATTGTTTGTTTGATTATGATATTTAAAAGAACTGGAATTTTTTATTAAATTTCTAAAAGTACAGTTGTTTGTTAGTTGTTCATATTATTAGCCTGATATCTTATTATTGACACAAAATATGATTAGGCTTGCTTGACAATATGCAATGCAAATTGGCAATAACTAGGAGCAGCTAATTTTATTATCATTAATCAAATATTTAGCAAGGCTTTTTATTTGCTGATCCATTGAGTTTAACCGCAGGTTATCTCTTTTGTATTACTCAGATTCTTGAAGCGCCAAATGAAGAAGAAGTTACAATACTTCTGGAGATATTTGGGTGATTTTCTTAGCATTCTTATTATGGTTCTATTTATCACTATAATTTCATTTTTGTCAGTATGATAAAAAGAAAATGTAACTTTAAAAGCCTCATATTGTTGAATTTCATATAAACTTCTTATTGGTTTGGTTATATACAGGCTCTGCCTTACAGGAGAAAAGGAAGTTCATAAAGCAGTTATGAGCAAAATACTCGATTTGGCATCAACTTTCTCTAGTTATGAGGATGAAGTATTGGTATGTCCTTACCATTTGTTAAATCTCACTCAATATGGGTAGTGTATAAGAAGCTCCTACTTAATTATTTTGGCAGTCATTTGCATGTTTTTACTCATGGTTACAGTTACATTTGAATAAAAAATTCTCATTATTTTTCATTGGCAATGCCTTGCACCCTATTTAACTTTTTTCTTTTTCTTCTTGCTTGGAGAGGTGATGCGAACATCGGGAAGCTAACATAAATAAATAAAGTAAAGAAAAAAAGGTCAAGAAATTAAGAATCTTAAAACTATGGTCCATTTATGATATAGTCATATAGGTTTATCTATGGTATAATAATATAACTCTAAATGCTTAAAGAATATTATATGTATATTTCAAATAAATTAGATGTTGCAATAATATTGTACAATTTTATTCTCAGAGTAATTTCTAATTTCCAACTTTCTGGAATTTATGTTCAGAAGTTTTACCCTTTGGATGAGGGAAAATAAGGGGAGGAAAGAGAAAAAAATGGAGGAAATAAGACAGGAGTTTAATTTTCCCTAGTTTGCAAAGAGGAAGGAGATAATATTTTTCTTCCAAAATTTTCTCTTCAAATTAGAGGATAGATAGAAAAATTTATACCATTGTGCTAGTGGAGGGGAAATTATTTTATTTTCCTCCTGTATCCAAACATAAGGAAGGAAAATAACTGTGTTTTCAAAATTTTCCTTATTTTCTTGCCTCCCTCCTTTCTTTTCCCAGATAAAGTGTAGGATTTCCAAATACATAAAGGATGAGATATGATACATTAGGTTACTAGATTGGGCAAGGTTCAGATTTGAGAAATTTTTTTTTTTTTTAATCTTTGAAATGTTTATGGGCTTTAGCTTTCTTCAATAAAGCAAGAAGAAAATACTTTTTGTTGATAAGGAACGATTTTCATTATGTAGTATCTATCATATGGTTGGGGAATATTGTTTTCTTTGGAATGATCCTTTTATTCGTACCGATATTTCTATTTCTTTATATTATTGTATTATTTATGATGACCATTTGCTTGTCATTTCATAGCAGATATTCATCAGTAGATTTTTTATTTTTTGCATGGTTTAAAACTTGAACCGTTAGCTTTCTTATTGAAAAAGGTGTCAATACCATGATCTTGTATCTCAATCTAAACCATAAAAATTTAATATTTTACAATTTAATTATAGAAGAAGGTTGTGTTTATTTAACTTATGGTTCCCTTTGAACTTTTCCCTCTCTTTAGGTAAAGCGAGAAGAATTGCTCCAGTATGCTCAAGCTGCAATTTCAGGATTGAAAATAAATGCTGAAAATGCAAGGTGGTTAACAATGTATATATTTCACAGTTTCATATGTCGGCTTTGAGGAGCCTAAACCTTTTGGTTTTGGTTTATTTCTATTATTATAGCTGGCATTATGAACAGAATTGGCTAGCCCATTCCACATAATGAGCATGCTTGCTCACACAGATAGTGATGGAACACAAGTAACAAATTTTGTCGTTACAAAATAATTTGGATCAAATTAATGCTACCTCAACTTTTAAAACAGTTTTGATATTATCCATTTTTGCAATATTTCATTGGTCTTTGAATTAGTTCTTTAAGAACCTCAGTGTTGGTTGGGGAAATTAGACTTTTAAGAAATTTCATTTATTTATCTCTTGGCTATCAATTCTATCTGAATCACTATCAAGCTATATGGCATATAATCTAAATCACGAATCATCTTTTGACGTTTCTAGTTTATTATACATAGACCTGCTTTGTTTTTTTTAATTGAAAACAACATAATTCTTGTTCAATGTTTGTTTTTTATGTTCTATTCTCTGCCCTCAGAATAGATGCTGAAGCTTGCAATCTGATGGAAAAACTAGATAAAATGAAGCCAGTCCATCAGTCTCCGAATGTAGCTAGAGAAAAATCACCAGAAGAAACAACTGCTGTAACAAAAAAGGTGAGGCTTCTCCAAACATTCATTCGTGCCATTGCCATATAAATGCAATGTGTAACTCTTTAGTTAGATATTTCAGTGATGGCACGAAGAAATATTCAAGATAGTTGTAACAATGTTGAGTTTGACTGGTACATACAGCCGTAACATTTAGCATTTAAATTGTCTTTGATGTTTTTTTATTTCTCTTCCAAGATCTATACTGCTTCTCGATATCACTTCAATGGTCATATTTTATGAATAGGTTAAGATTGTGAAGTAAGAGTTTAGAATCCCTTCTGTATGGAAATGTTTTTCTAAGCTTTTAAATTTGTCTTTGTTTAGTCTCTTTTGGCTTATACTGCTACTTATTATTGTAACTTCCGAATGTGAATGCATGTGATTAATAAGTAGGTAGGTTAAATTAAGATTATACATTTGGTAAATTTGTTGGTAGGTTAATTTTTAAGATATATATATTTTTTAATCCATGTTACCTTTCTCCTTGTTTGCAAAATCTTTTTGTAATGTCCTTTGTATTTTCCACCTATGGTGCATGGGAACTTCTAGCTATGGACGTTTCCGCGTGTCCATCATCCCATGTAAAATGCTGTTTCCCTGTGTAAAATTGTATTTCAAATGTTGTCTCCTGTATCCAATTTTGTGTTTCCACAATTCCACATTGCCATTTCTGTGCTCAATAGTTTTGCATTTCTTTCATTCACATGCATTACTTATTTGAGTCTAGGATATTGGGGTATACTAGCTTATTTTCCTCAACTATTATTCTTGTCTACCAAAAGCTATGGTTGGATGTTTGTTGTTTGTTGAAGTCCCATGTCAATTGTTGCAAGATTCATATATTGGGAAAAATAAAATCACAAAAATGAGGTAGCTTTACCTTGTCAAATGCAATAAATATTTTCTCTTCACATCCCTAGGTTTCATAATGGTTTGTCAATTTAAGAGTTTCTAGAATACATGGGGCGATTTCTAAATCAAATGGAATGATATATTTCTTTGATCAAATTGGGAGTTGATTTCTTTAGTTTTCAAGTAGGCTCTTGAAGAGGCACTTGGACAAATTGAACTGTGTTCAGCTTTGGAGTCACTTTTACTGAAGAAGAAATCTTTGAGAAATGGAGATTCTCCGGATTTGCATGCTGAAAAGGTACAGTGAATTCTTAGCAATATCATTAAATCAATTGATACATTCATTTTTCTTCCATAACTTACTTAATTCTTTATAATCATCAATCAAGGTTTGGACTAACTGGTTGTTAGATTCCTATTTATCTTGTGGCAGAAGGGATTCAGGTATCTCAATGATCAAAGTGTCATATTAAACCTTTTTTGATATGCACTAAACTAAGCATCACCTCAGTATTGTTCCCAAGGAGCATCCCACAATTATATCTCATCAATTTCTGACATTATTTTAAGTTTTGCTCTTTGAAATGATATTTTGCATTTGTGAGTTGAAAATGCTGACGAACTAGTATCTCTGGACTAAGCAATCTTCCATTTTCTAATCACTTTGATGATGATTTTTTGTAATTCTCAAGTTGTGTTTATTACCAAATGTCTAGTTTGCCTGAAAACCTTCCTAATTCAGTCAACTGCTAAACTGCACACATAGTGCTTGAATTTTAGTACCATGTCAACCTTTATTTTATGGGATACGACTCTTTAAGCCTGCTAATTTAAATGGTTGAAGTATGCTTATTATAAATCAAGCACAAGTGGCATTTTCTTGTTTTATATTCTTCCTCGAACTAGTTCATAAATTAACTCAACTCTGTTGCAAAAATGTCTGAAACTCATAATATTGTTCATTGTATCGTAGAAACAAAAGAAACTATAGATTATGTTCATTGCAAAATCATAAATATTTTTGAATTTTTTTTTTTTATTTTTTTTTACTTTTTGGAATATCTTTTAACATTTAAGTAAATAGTAAATGGGTATTTCTGTAGAAGTGCTTTTTAACTATTGCAAGCTCACCAATAGAGAGAGAGTTTTTTCGTAACTCTGCAATTTTCTTTTTTCTTTTGGGTCCTGTTTTGGCTTATTTTATCATAATATGCCACAACTACATGATCTATACCTTATTTTTCTACAGATACATAAATTGAAAATTTTATCAGAGTCTCTTCTCAATTCTACGGCAAAAGCTGAAAGACGTATTCTAGATCACAGGTTCAGAAAAATTGAATGTTTTTATGTGCAGGAAACATGTTTATATGCATGCTTATGACCACTAATTTCTCTCTCTCAAAAGCTCTTTCACATGCATTTGCATGTTTTTCTTTTTGTTCTAGTAATACTTGAAAATTTTAGTTGCTCTATTGCTGCTTACTAAATTATCATAGATTATAGATTAGAACATGATAGTTGGACATTGTCAATTTTGATATGTTATAAGAATCTGAACAACATCAAATTGCAACTATCTCAGATGATCATGTCTTCCCTTGTCACAACTAGTTGCTTCTGTTCTCCTTATATGGTGTGTTCATTGTATGACTTTGAAATATTAACACTATTACCATACAAGTACCTCTTAGCCGATGATATCTCCACAGATCATTCCTCTGATTTAGGAACAGATTACAATTAATTTCCTGTAATTAATCTCTGTAATTCCTTTCCATATGTAACTCATTCCTCTGATTTAGGAACAGATTACAATTAATTTCCTGTAATTAATCTCTGTAATTCCTTTCCATATTCTGTTTGTATTCTCCCTATTTAAAAGGTCTTGGACATCAATACAAAATCATCAAGAATTCAAAATCCTCAAACACTTTCATGGTATCAGAGCTTCAGTTCTGAATTCCCTCCCTCTCCTTTCTCTCCCATATTTTTTTTTAGCTGCTGCCGCCGATAGCCATGACACAAACAGAAGTCCCATCTTCGACCTCCAACCCTAAAACACCCACCCCCATTCACCCTGCCTACTCTGTGACTAACTGACTAACATCCAATCAAAAATAAGAACCCTAGATGGTAGCACAGTTACATACACATCATGGGTGAAATTATTCAAGTTTCATTCTATTGCATACCGTGTTCTTGATCACATTGATGACACGCCACCCCCAGCCTCTACAGATCCATCGTACAGTGCCTAGAAAGAAATAGATGCCTTGGTGTCTCAATGGATTTACAGTACCGTGTCTGATGAACTGCTCACCCGCATCCTTGACACTGAAGCTACGGCTAGAAAAACATGGCTGAAACTTGAGAAAATCTTCCTTAGCAACAAGAAAGCAAAAGCGGCAGCTCTTGAAACAAAATTCGTTAATCTCACCCTTCTCACCCTTGCCAGCCTTGCAGTTCCGTTGAGATTACTGCAAGAAATTGAAAGACAATTCGCCGACCCAACTTGACGGATGTTGACAAACCAGTTTACAGAAGATTCCCGATTGCGTTCTTACAACTGGTTTCGTGGCCTTCCTCAAGAATTTCGACGCCTAGCTTCGTCTTATTAACTCACAAAACGCAGACTGGGACCTGCAGAACCATTGTTGAATGATGAGGGTCATTCGCCCAGGCTGCACGACAACCAAACCACCTCTGTCCTTGTCGACTCCAACCACCAGACAAACAAAACCCGCCGGCCACAACTCAACAACCTGAAAACAATCAGCCTCACAACAGTTCTTACCACTCCACAATTATAGAGGCCGTGGTCGAGGCAGACGTGGCAGAGGCAGAGGACGCGGCTACAGGGGAAACTCTACGGGGACTCCTTGGGCTATAACACATCAATCCGCCAATCAAACCTACCCAAAATGGGCTTGGTGGAACACTCCACCTTGTCCCTACCCAACACAAACTCCATGGCCACCAAATCAAATTCAAAACACACCCACTGCTCATTATGCCGCTTATTCAGAACAGCAGCCATACGGCCCAGCACCACCATATCCCCCTCCACCGCATACTGGATATGATGCTTTAATATCCCCCTCCACCGCATACTGGATATGATGCTTTAAGTCCTTTCGATCTCAGCCAAGCTTATAACACGATGCAACTCAACTACACAGATCCAAATCTGATCATGGAGACAGGGGCAGAACGTCATGTCACCGACAACCGAGGAATGATCTGTGGAGATATCATCGGCTAAGAGTACCATGTCTTCTAAATAAATCCATTTAGACTTTTCTATTAATCTATGAGTGTTAGTTGTGGTTTTAAAAAACTTTATTTTTGGCATTTAAATGGAAAAATAATGAATATCTTTTATATCATATCTCCTACCAAGAATCACCGATAGTCACATTTTCTAATACGTTCATTTATTATTTTAAAGAAAAAAAACTCTTAGTATATGTTCTCCCACAAATCATAGTTACATGTTCTAATCCACCCATCTAGATGTCTATTGTATTTATTGTGTTGCACCATTTTTCTTTCTTTTTTGTGAATGAGAAGTTGATGTAGAGCTGTCTACCAAAAATATTATAGTTCTACTAAAACCTAAGAACACTTGTAGATGTTGCTTATGTAGAGGAATAGAGTTGAAAATGGAAGTGTGACACTATTCAATCACAAAAATTTTCTGCTGGCGGAATGACTAAAGGAAGAATAGTAGTTGGAAATTGGTCATCCTCTCCCGCATAAGTTTGGGCCACAATGATAGCTTGAGTCTTGCCTATGGGGGAGATATACATTGTCTCATGTATCCTCTTTGAAGTGTTCGACCTGGAATGATGTTTAGGCTTAAGAAAACCTAAGAAATAAATAAGGAATATAGTAGAAATCAGATGTCCTTGCTCCATGCTTTCATAAGTCCTTATAGTCATATCAATGGCTTACTACACTTCTACTGTTTCAAATCATCTAGGTCCACTTTGCATTTTTTTTTTCCTTCTTCTTCCCGAGTAATCCCTCTATCTCTCTTTTCTTCTTTCTCTAATCTCAGCTTTCAGTTCCGTCATCTTTCTTGTCTTTTATTTTTGTTTCTTATTCCTATCTTTTTTTCTTATTCTTTATAACTCTTCACTTTGTCATCTTTCCTACTTCTCTCTCCTTTGCTCACTTCTTTCCTTTTGGGATGCAAAATATTGATTTGTTTTTCATTTTTTTATAACAATTTGAGTACTATTACTAGTCTTTGTTTAGGAGGAATACACCACTTTGTTCTTTTGTATGTAAAACAAAATATTATATGATAGAAAATGTAATGGAAATAATAATCAGGAAAATAACAAACATTCTTAAAACAGAAAAAATTTACATTTTGAAATTTCTTACTTTTCTAGAGTATTAGATCAGTGATTGAGGGTGGCTGACCTATATTTGTACACTATCATTTAGCTATTGCAACTTTTTTCCTCATAGCAGGTCATATTTATAGGAGACTAACTGGAGCATTAGTCATGGTATAAAAGATACCTCAGAGGCTCATAAAGGTCCATTTACAAGTCAAGGCCATAAGGTCCTATATGAGATCCTTACAACGTCATGGCATGCTCAGTTATCTATAAACCTAGTTATATTAGGTTCTTTGACAACTGTTATCATTAACACATCGTTTGTGGATTGGTGGATTTCTTCTATTTGGTGCTGCTGCACATGCAATCATTTTTATGAAGAGACTATGATCCAACTACTCCATACATACGATCTATTAGATTGTGTTCTTAGGCATCACGATGCAATCATTTCACATCTCAACTGGGTATGTATATATTTAGGCTTTCATAGTTTTGGTTTATATATTCATAATAATACCATGAGCGCTTTAGAGGCGCCCTCAATATATTTATTTCGATACTGCTATATAATTACAACCCATCTTTGCTCAATGGATACCAAACATCCATGCTTTAGCACCTTGTACAATGGCTCCTGGTGCAACTGCAAGCACCAGCAATGGCTAGGTTGCTTTCTAGCCGATTCCATTAGGAACCGCAGCTTTTTGGTACATCACATTCATGCATTTATGGTTCATGTGACAGTATTAGTACTTATGAAAGGAGAAGAATGTTCAATATAAAGGAAAAATCATAGGCCAAACCTTGAATAAAGTCTTCACGATAAAATAATTCAATCCTAATAGTAGGAAGTAAATAAAATAATACACTCAATAATAAAATACTCTTGGAACTCAAAGATGAATATATCTCACTAGATGACTTGTATATTTTCTAAAAATACCCACTAATTTGAAGTTAATTCTCACTGTTTATTTACCTCTGATATAAATCCTCTTTTAACACATTTTTTTTAGCTATTAAACATATAGGTTTTCTTCATTCATATATTTAAGATTTCAAAAAGCAAGCTGCTCTTACTTATCTTTAAAATTAGCTAACTAAAAAAGTAATAGTGCTTCAAAATCTCTCTCTTTTTCTAGTTTCCTTCTCTTTGTTTTGTTTTGTTTACTTTCCTTTATTTATTTTACCATTTTAAGATTATTGGTCAAAACATCCATTCTAGAGGAAAACAAACCCTTCAAATCTCCCCTTTCTGATTACATAAATTCATGTGTAACTAGAAAATGGAAATTTGACGGATTGGTTTCTAACTAAATAAATAAGCAAAAGTAAACAAAATAAAACAAAAGGAAGAAAAGAAGGCTAGAGGAGTGGCTTTTCATGCACCAGTATTTTTCAGCTAGTTATATATAATTATATATATGCATACATATATATGCGTATGTGTGTGTGTCTGTATGTGTGTAAGTCCATAAATTAAGCTCTTGGTGAGCACATTTTGCATAGAAAATTAGAAATGAATGATAAGAGATCATTGTTAAGAGTTATAAAACATGAGGGTTTGGAAGGGCTGTGTGATTGATAAAAATAATAGGGAATTAGCTTTAAGCTAGTGAGTCTCCAACTTTGGTGAGATCTTTCCATCGTTGAGTTTATATTTCATTCTTGAATGTATAATTATGCATCTTGCTTGTATTAGGGGACGTCCACTTTATATTTCTAGTATCTTATATTGTGGGTTTTATTCAGAAATTGGCCGATATGTTTGCCTTTGTATTGTAGGGTTTTAACAAATCTTTGCATTATAAATGTGCTATTATTTTACATAATTCTTGTTTTCAGTGGAATTTCAACTGGATTACATCCTGTCTTATGCTTATTAAGAGGAAAGTGGACAATTTTCTAACACACTTCATTTAAAAAAATTAAATAAAACTTTAACAAGACTTTTCTTAGGTTCTTTTATCTTTGAATTAGATCATAAGCAAGTGTTTCATATAAACTTCATATATCTTGCTGCATTATCAAAATTTAGAATATTAGAACTTAGCAGCTCCACTGCTCAAAGGTGCTTTTTCTTTTTTAAAAAAAAGTTATTTGCCTTTTCTGACTTGAGTAATAAGAGAACCTATAACCCTGAATGTGTATTCCACTTTTGACTACCTTGTAGCAATTGGTTGAAATGCCTTCTTCATAGAATCCTTCTTGGCATAGTAATACATGTAAACGGTGTATTAAATTTTTTTAGAATTTCCATTTGAGTGGCCCAACTTCAATTTTTCTCAATTAAGTGTCTGAACTTTGACTTCCTTTGTAATTAATTGTATTTGGAGAATTATGGTGCTCAAATTATTGTTGTGGATTAAATCAAATAAAGAAATAGTAATATTTGCCATGTAATTGCCAACACGATCATATCAATCAGGTTAATGCCCATGTGCCAAGCTCATGCTGATACCTCTTTCTTTGTGTTCAACAAACTTATTTGCTTTTCAACTTTTGAACTTATTACTAGTCTATTACCATTTTTTTTTTAAAATTGTTGGTATAATATTTGAGTTCATTGAGAAGAAACAATATTTTCTCATTGTTGGTAGAGTATACTAAATTGAGGGCTATTTTAGTTAGTCTTAATTATTGATACTAACTTCTAACAAATTATACTGAGTTCAATAGATTTCAATGTCCATTAGCAAAGAAAGAACGTGTTGAGGTGTGTTATGTTCACAAATGTGGATCTAGTTATGAGTCTTTGAATTAGGGGAACAGATTTGAGATAGGGTGTCTTAGAATGAGTTTTCTTCCTTCTACCTATGGTGACACACTCAGAGAGAATCTGCAATCTCCTAGAGCTCATTAAGGGAGAACTCTACAATCTCTGAGTTTTAGGAACTCAAAACCTTTTCTTAAATTCTGCTTACAATTTTTCCTGATACTACAACCTTTTAAACAACTAAATGCAAAACTAAAGCTATCCACTAATAACTAACTATTAAAATAGTAGCTTGCTTAACCACCCCACTAATACCCACTAACAAAGAAAGATAAAAACTGAATAACTAAACAAAAACATCCTAAATACAGCAGTAAAACTACCCTAAGTACAACGGCTCCAGAACATTGTTCATTTGGCCATGGTAGCAAGATATGGTAGATAATTTTAATGCACCATCAGTGACTTCATAAACCTATTCTCTTTTTAGCTTACCTTTCATAAGTTGAAACATGATTTAGCTCATTGGATACCTTATGATACGTGGCTAGATTTCGTTCTCGTAGTCCCATCAAATCATATAGATTTTCAAGATCATCCTTTCCATTAAGTTCTGCTATATCCATACCACTGTCACATGATTAAAACAAAGTCTGAAAATTGTAACACGATTGCAAAACTAAAAGGTCTGGAAATCCAGAGTATTGGCTTAATTAGTAAGTAGAATATCTTCCTACCTTATTGATTAGGGTGTGATTCTTGAAAGTAGACCCATTTATGAATTCTCTAACTCCAACATATGTGCCTATGTGGTTTACCCTTGATTGGACCAAAGAGGTGAACTTAATAGTTAATGTGGCGCATGAAATTGGCCTATAATGTCATATTACTGATAATTAAAGGTTTGGAAATGCAAAACATGCTAATATATACATACATCTATTGTTATTACTCCTTAATTATTGCAAGGAATATTTTTGTTTTGAATCCATTTTGAAATAGGTCTCAGAAAGAAGAAACACTGAACTATCATGCAGTTAAATCCAGCGAAGTTAGCCAGCTCGAGAAGGTGATCTTTCTTTTAGTATTGATGTCTCTTCCAATTTTTTTTAAAATTATATTAATGTTCTCTTCCTATTAAAATACTAGTTAATTTCATACATGCATTGCATGTAACTGACAAAATTTGAATGCATGGTTTTTATATAAATTTTGAACATATGAATATTTTTAAAAATTAATTGTTGCACACATACCACTATAATTAATAGTTTAGCAAACTATTCACAAAAATCATTTCAAGTGATGATCTAATGAGTTTATATAAATACCAACATACAAATCTTTAAAGTACATTTCAATAATTTATTCCATGTATTTCCAAAACCATTTATCTATGTAAGCTTCCCCGACAAGGGCAGATGGAGGTAAGGGGACAAGGGAGAGTCTTGGTGCCAAAAATCTTGAGATTGAACTCAAGTGAGAGTCAAAATAATAAAAAAATATTATGTAATGTAAAAAATAATATGAAAAATTAGTTTAAAATGTTACAATATGATTGTCAATTATTGTGTTTGATTGATTATCATATATATGAATATATGCTAAAATATTAATTTGTAAAATCCAAAATTTATGCGATGATAGAAACTACTATTATATGTAATTTATTTATAAAAATCCATATACTTGGAATTCAGTAATATGAGTTTATTAACTAAATTCAGTAGTGTCAATGTAGCCCCATATTAATAGAATCTGAATATATTAAAAAAAAGGGAATTTACCTGATAAAGAAAACAAAGAAACTAATTAAATTTAAATAAAGGAATAAATAATTAAATACCAAGGTAGATTCTTGTTAATTTTATAGCTAGGAAATGATTGGGAAGGTATGCCATCATCTGATTAATTTGTTGCAAGATACTGAAAAATGTTTCCTGGCTTTTGTAGGATTTGGAAGTGGAAATTGAACAACTTGAGAATGAAAGAGATGAACTTGAAGCTGCATTAAAAAAGGTTTCTTTATAGTCTGAATATTTTATATTTTATCTTCAAAGTAAAAATACATTTTCTGTGAATTATTGAAATGCCTGGTATTGTCTAACTAAATCTATCTTAATTACCTGTCCTTTATGCCTTCTTTGGGAGGATGGAAAATGGGAGGAAAGGAAATGGGTAAAAAATGTAATGTTGATTATATACATTTATTTCTCTTAATAAATTAACAGTCAATATTTAATATAGATATATTATCCACACATTTTTATTTGTCCCACTTTTGATTCTCCCAAACAAAGTCATTAAGTTGTTGCATATTGCAGGTCAATGATTCATTGACTACATGTCGAGCAAGGCTTCGCAATGCTAGGGAAGAACGAGAACAATTTGATGAAGCCAGTGATCAAATTTTAGTACATCTTAAAGCCAGGGTATTGTTTCCTTTATTCGTTCTTGGGTCCTATTATGTATTATAAACATCGCAATCTATTTTTCAAATTCATGCCTATTTTATCATTAGACCATCGATATTTTATTTATACATTTTCCTATTGAAGATTTCCTTGGTTTTCAGGAAGAAGAGCTCTCGAAGTCGATTTCTTTATGTAGAAGAGAAGCAGATGTTGTTAGTACATGGATAAATTTTTTGGAAGAAACTTGGGCAATACACACTACAAGTATTGAGCAAAAGGAGAAGCAGGTCAAGTATGTCCAACTGCTTCCTTTGGTGGATAGATCTCTTTGTAAAAATAAAAATGAGATTGGTTTTTCCATTTTGAATCTCTTTCTAATGTAAAAGTGAGCTGTTTCGAATGATTTCTTCACGAAGTGAGATTATGATGGTTTGGATACGTACATTGATGTATACATAGATGTTCTACTGTAGAAAGTTGAACACATAAAATGTTACAAGAGTTAAAAAAGGGAAGGGTATGTGGTTAAAAATGACATGGAGAGAAGAGTAGTAAAGGCCATATGAAATGGGAAGAAAAGATCTTTAAAGATGACCTCAATTAAATTGAGATGAACCGATGCTTTATTTAGTAAAATAAGTTTAATATATAAATTCATGGACAAATTATTTCTATTAGTTTAGTTTTATCGAATTCCATAAAATTTAGGCCTTAGGAATGAAATTATCATTTTTCAGATATACAAAATGTAATTTTTAAATGAATTGGACAATTTTATGAAATTTATTTATATCGATTAGGCATAAGACCTAATTGAGTTGAGTAGAATGTTGATACATCAATTTTGTTTATTCAAATTCTATCATTTGATATATATCTTCTTTTCTTTCTTAAACATGCATGTTCAAGTGCTGAGTTGGAGAAATATGGAGAATATTTAACAAATTTGGTTGTTCAGCTTTTTACATTTTGCAAGGTATTGATATACTCACCCTTGTTGATTGGTCTCTATGATGTGTATTCTCAAACAGAAATTTGTTATTATATTTCTGCAATTTATCCATGAATTTAGGAACAGTTGGAGCCTTTCCTCATCCGTCTTAGAGGACTTGTGGGGGTATTGCGGTCATTTCAAGGGTATGTGTTGTATTTCTTTTTTATGTTCATTACTAAGTCAAATGAAAGCTAAAAATATTGTTTCTACATCAGGTCAGAGATAGTACCGATTATAAAGGATGATGAGACAAAAGCAATAAATGAAAGGAGAAATCTTGAGAATGAGTTCTTGGATTGGGAAGCCAAGGTATGAATGTGATTTTCATAATTTTCTTGGATAGTTCTGGTCTACTTTTCTGTTTAGTTTCACATGGAATGCACATATGCCTATCTCATTTTTTTGGTGGCTAAACTCTATTGTGAGCATAAAATGTCGATTTATTAAAAACAAGTTACTTTAGAATTTATTACAATTGTATTGTTGAAGTTTATTCGTGCTGTAATTAACTAAGGCTGCCTTAATTCCGATGGCTAATGGGTGAACAAGACCTTTTTATGGAAATCCATTTTTATGCTCACTGATTTTTACATTGATTTTCAATTTGTGATTGCTATAAAAATAATACAAAATTTAATAACCATTGAAATAATTTGATTGACTGTCCACTAATTTTAGCTTATTTACTGGGCTTGTGTTAAGCTAGTGATGTCATGAGTTCAACCTCTAATGGAGCATATTGTTGTTTTATTTGATTAAGGATTTATCAAACTTTTGGTTTCTGTTATTTCAGTTTCTAACTATCTTAAGCATGGTTGAAGGAGTGAAAAGGCATTATTACTATGGAACTAAAGGCATTAGCAGGTATATATCAGTTTTTATTCTTTGACCTTAATTATAACTTAAAAAATTTGTCTTTTCAAAAAATTATGACACCAAAACCTCCTAAAATACATTATTCTACTCTAGATATAAGGGGGGGAAAAAGCTGTATTTCTACCCACTAGATCAAAATTAAAATGGAGCATAACTTTTTATAGCCATCACTTGTTCCAAAATTAAAATGATTGATTTTTGATCAATTTCTTCTTAACTGCCAAAAAATGGTGCTATTTTGATCAAATGGGTCAGTTACAACTGTTTGTATCTTTTTTCTTTTTGTTATTCGGTCTTATTCTATTGATTTCACTTCACATAAACAAATTAATCCCACATTTTTGAAATTTGATGGCTTAAAATACACTTTAGGAAAGACGATGAAAGGATCAAAGATCTAGTTGATGCACTTGAAAAGGTGAGAGAAGAATTTGAGTCCATTGAAAGACCATTTCTGCAAGTTGAACATCCAATACACATATCAAAGTCGCCATTAAGTTCCCCTCACGGTCAATCTCCTAGGTACAAACAGATGAGTCTAGCAAAAAAACACACCAAGAAAACAAAATCATCCTTAGTTAATGGAAATCAGGCACCTGCATTAGTGGAATTGGAACACCTAGAATCTGAATTTGAAGAAGATGACACAGGCTATTTAGATGAGCTTGGAGAATGGGAATTTGATCAACTTGAAAAGGAGGTCAAAGTAATCAACTGACCATCAACTGATGGTTATGACAGGAAAATGTAAAGAAAAATGATATTGTATCGATCATGGTGATTATGATTCGAACGGTTAACGGTTAAAGGTAAACTACTTAAACATCTTATATATAAGAAATAGAGTATGTTGGTTATCTATATTTTCACTTTCTAACAATGTTGTGCTTTGACAAGCCTAGATGAACAAGGGCTTTCCTTTTTGAGTAGGAAACAAGTGTTATTATATACAAATGTATAAATTCGCATCTTTGACAATGTAATGTAGATACCTCTGTACAAATGTATCGTTTCCAATGTCAAAGTATGATTCTTTTGCTTTTGTTTTTCCATGTATTATATTTGATCTGATCCGTTTCCATTTACCAAGGCAGTAGGCCTTTTTTTTTTTTTTTTTTTTTTTTTTTTTTTTTTTTTTTTTTTTTTTTTTTTTTTTTTTTTTTTAACTTATTTTCTTTTAATTTTCTAACTTATTTCCTTTTAATTCTTTTACGTCCTTTCCCGTTTGGATAAGGATATGAAATCTAATTGCTTTGCTTTAGGAGTTACTTATATGGGACGAGAAAAAAAACAAGTTGCTGATGTGGAGTTTACTCTCCCTTCGAGGGGTTTGGATTCCTCTAATACCTGTCCTTAAATTTTCCAAATTGATATAAATTCAAGAGATAATTTTTCCTCTAGATAAAAATAGTGATGATCGTATTTTTTTATATAACAAATACAATTTCTGAAATCTCATAATTTAGAAATTAATATTTCAATTTTAAAATTTAGAAAATTTCACAGATTTTATAGTAAAAAGTTAAAGGGTAATTATTATGTAAAATATATGTAAGAATTTTGGTTTTCAAAGTCCCAACATTATAATTTTCTTACACCAATTTTTTGTTTCTCTAATATAAAAATATAAAGTATTATTTCTAGCCTCTTGATTGGAATTTTTGGAATAATTACATATCTCCCAATAGCAATGATAAAATAATAATAAAATAAGCATCAATTACAAAATAACTAGGGAGTATTAATCTAGCCACTTGGAGAATCTAAATTGATGACGCATCTCCTGTTAACAATAACAACAACAATCACCCCAAATCAATTATAAATCATCCCAACATATATAGTATTATCCAACAACACTTATAATAATAGTAAATAAATAAATAAGATGATAAAGAGTGGATAGAGAAGTTATGGGTGATTGGCTAATGACAATTATTACTTAGATGATTTTTTTTTTTTTTTTTTTTAGCCAAACAATTGTCCACTCATGTTACTTTAATTGTAATTTTTTGTGTAACTAATAATCAACAATTGCATACTTCGTTCTAAAAAATTATATAATCTTAAGTAGGGATGGAAGCGGGGCGGGTATCCGCGATTAAGCTATCCGTCGTATCCGTTTAAAATTTTATTACTTTTATCCATGCCAAATTTATTTAAAATACTCTTAAATGGATAGAGTATTTATACATTTTAAACTATCTAAATCCAAACTTATTTAAATTATATTTTTTACTAATCAATGAGTAAGATACCCACGAGTACCAATAGCCAAAACTGTTTATTATAGTGGGTAATAGGTGGCGGGTACTCAGAGTCTAATATCCATATCCTACTTGTATCTATTGCGAGTTGTAATTTTACCGTCTATATCTGTCTAAATCCATTTATAACTATCCGTACCTTTATTAAATGGACCAAAGCAGATACCTTAAAATACACATCTCAATTCCATCCCGAAACTTGAGGAGATCTATAATCATGATCTCATGTTTCAAAATTAGGCGTGGAGAATAATTTATAATGCTAACTATGGAATTAATGGTAAAAATCGAAAGTCATATAGAAAATTGGTCAGATGCAATATGCATATAATATTGAGAGTCCTATACTCATTGTTACATAATTAATTTTAAATAAATTTTATAAGATTTAGATTTTAAAAATATGGTTAAGATCTTGTCATTGGAAATTCAACTAATATTATTATTTTTTTGGAAATAATTACTAATGAGTTAGCATGTGAGGAAGGAAGAAATGTTGTGTTGCAAACACTTTATCATTAAGTCAAAGAATTAGATTTTTAATTTAATACAAATGATTGAAAATAAGAAATCTAAGAAATCTAAATATAAAGTGATATTTTAGATTTGTATGTGCAAATGAATATTAAAAAAAGGAAAAAAATATAATTAACTCTTTAAAATATATCTAAATTAATACTATAATGCTTCACTTTTGAGAAATAATTATAATATTCCTAATTTTGACTTTTTTTCATTATTGGGTCATTTCGTCTAAAAAGTTAATATTTTCTCTCTAAATAGATATACTTTTGAACATAATATACTCACTTTTTGAATGGAAAATGCTAATCATTTGGTAGAAGGGTCAATAATGAGTAAAAGTTAAAGATATCGTAACTATTAATTTTTCAAAAGTAAATGATTTTAAATATTAATTTGAACATAATTTAGAGTTCGAGTCATATTTTATTCAAAAAAATTAAATTCAATTGATCCCTTGCAATAGCCATATTTATCTCTACCACTTGCAGTCACATTAATATTCATTATGATTCACAACATACATAAGTGGATGACAAAGTGAATGTGAATTATTAGTTATAGCATAATGTATTAAATGACATTTTTCCCCTCCAAACTAATATGACTTCCCAATTTTGCCACTTCAAATTGCTTAAATGTTACATTATTCATTTGAGAATTGCGTTTACTTTAGCTAGTGCAGTTGATTTAAAATGCGTTTTTGATAGAAAATATAAAGAGAACTTGATTTTTTTTTTTTTTTTTTTTTTTTTTAATTCGAAAGGTACAATCATTGGACTTGGGAGGACAGAATGGACAGTAGGAAAGTCTGAAGTGTTACCCAAAAGATAAAAAAGAAAAAAAATGGTTAGGTACCTTACATCTGCTCAGTTTCCAAAAGTGATGCCAGTGATGCTTAGCAATAGCATTGAAAGCTTTTTCCATCTTTTTGCAGTCGCATTTTTCAGCTTTCACGTCTGCTCACTAACCAATCATGCAATTGCGTGACCTTTTTTACACCTCATCCAAAAGCTACGTAAAAAGAAAATAAAAGCTGATAATTGCGGGAAGCCAAAGAATTAGTAGCCATAAGCCAGCACAAAGCTCTGTTGCACTGAGCCACAGCAAGTGGCTGATCACGTGATGCTCATTTCTCAAATATATACATATAACCAGACAAAACCTATAGCCTGCAACACAACGCTGTGTGTCACAGTAAGTAGTATAACTTGCATGGTACTCTTGTTACGATGATTAATTGATATATAGAGCTCTTTCTTTTTCTTTTTTATTTTTTTTAAATCATAAGTTGATTCATATGTCGAATTTCGGTTCGTAAATTTACCTTTAAACTTTATAATTAATTAAATTTGAATGGTTGATTACGTACATACGTCTGCTTAACTCCTCACTCCATTATTTGGAGCTTATGAAATATTTGGAGCTTTCTACCTCCTCAAGTGTGAAATATTTGGAGCTTATGCTTGTTGTTGGTGAAGTCAACACTAACATCCCTGACTTACAATTCCAAAGATTACAATATAACTAATAAGTTAAGCAAAGACCTCACCTCATTTTGACCGAGTCAAACTAGGGCATATATAAATAATATTCAAAGCCATATAGGTAATATAAAATTACTAGTACATAGCCCATAAGTGCAGTCCTTGGAAAATTAATATTAAATAAAATATACCTTAGAGATATGGGCTGCCTTTTGAAAATTTAAAGTTTTGTTGCAGAGGAATCTGTGAAATGTTGGAGATATGAACAAAATAATTCCATTTTTTACAAGACTACAAGTTTAGTCCTATATTAAAAACAAACTATTTACTTTTGTTAACAAATCCATTGTCTAATATATATATTTTTTCCATTACATCACAAATGTGTAAATATACCATGTTTCCACTTAAAAATTTTTGACATACAGAAAAAAGAATCTTAAATAGATGAAAGTGGTTCATCTGTAACTAAACAATATATGTAAAAAACATGTAATGTAGTGACAGTGATCCATTGAGGACTCCAAAGTAGATACAGCACCCTGCAGCAAATAGGATATGATAATCTGAAGATTTGATCCATCTTTATATGTGTATATGAATCCGAAAATATTTTTAGCACAATTTGTATCAGGTCCAATATAAGTAAAAAAAAAAAAAAAACTGAATGTCCTTAAAAATTTTTTAGCAGTTATGTATTATTGATGTTACACTAAGGATACAGATTGTGTCGTACACAACTTATGTCATTTAACAAAGCGCTCTCTCTCTCTGAATATATATAAAGATATTTTGGTTCTAATAGCATCCATCTATATATCATTTTCGTGAAGACTGTTGAATGCTTGAATTATGTTATGTGTAAAAATAAAAATATAAAAATAAATATCTATATATGCATTGAACCTTTCAAGAAAAAGGAAGAGCTAGTTTATATATATACACGTATATATAGGTAGGCAGTGTCAACATCTTGTGTTCTAATCTTATATGCATGAATGTTGAATGTAAGGTATTAATAACTTATAGCAGCCAATCAAAGCATGAATGGATGAAGAAAAAGAGCATAAATCCATGTATGCCTTGCTCCATCTTCCAGCTAAGATATATGTATGTGTGTGTCCGTGCATAGCACCATTTGATATGGATTTCTCGAAGCTCAGGTTATGTTCAGTTCCTCACCACTTGTATTAAGGATAAGACTTGTCTCCGCTCTCGATGTATGGGTGATCCTATTACCAAACCAATAAAAAAAATGTTTTAAAAAAACCATTTTATCATTTTTTTTTTTCTCTCAATATAGCCCGTATCGGCAAGTCTTTCAATTGATCAATTTTAAGTCTATCAAAACAGACTTCTTACTCGTTTGCATTTTGTATTTCTCAATGTTCAAACTGAATCTAATTCCATTCTAATTAAATATCAAATTGAAATTGATTCATAGTTCCACGGATACGAATTTATGTACAGTAGGACATATTAAGCGCTAATTTGATTGATTTTCTCTATTAATTAATTAATTAATACAATCTAAAGTATAAAAATTTTTAATTGCTTAAAAAACTTCTACAAACATCATCTAAATAAGTTACTATCGTTATACTTAAAAATACATTAGTCAAAATTTCTATTTTCAAAATTTAATTATATTATCTCTTAATTTTATTCTTTTTATATTATTTAATCATTATATTAACTTCACTAAAATTTACTTTTTTATATAGTTTTACATGCCACGAGAGGCAGAGCCTGTTAGGTTTTCTCAAATAAATTTTGTCCCCTATGATTTTTATTTTTTAAAATATATATCGATAATCCACTGTTTATTTTTATTTTTGGCCGCTTCAATATTTAAATTTCAGCTATGCCCCCTCACGCCATTTTGTCGATTAGAGAATGAGAATGAGAATGATAGTGACATTTTATTAATTAAAAAAATAAATGAAATTACTAAATAGTATAATGAAAACGAAATCAATAATTATAATTAAATTTAAATTTAAATAAAAATACATGTTTTAAACAATAATTCACTCTTAAAAAATTTGGATGAGGTTGGGCCAAAAATATTGTTCTCCATTTAATCCAATTAGACTCTTAATCCAAATTTTTTTATTGTTACAGTCTCGATTGAACCAAAGTTCAGAAATTATTACACATGAGCGAGTCAAACCCAATTATAAAATATTCAACATTTTTAATATTCATTACCTTAAAGTGGACTTTGGAAAATTTTCAAATTCAAATGGTCAGAAAGGTTCAAATTGAAGTTGAATATAAAAATCTTTTAAGTATAAATTTAAAATCAATTTACCATTAAACGGATTTAGTAGTGTTGTAATGAGATAAGAAATCAATAATTAAGACATAATAAATCTCTCCTTGTATGCATAAGAACCGTTCAATTATTTTTGGCTGGTCAATTTCTAAACCGTAAAATCTAACTATATATATCCAACAGGAAAATTCTAATGGGATGATTCAAAATTACATATCACCATTTATATTTTCCTGTCCCTAATTAGGAATATTCCATATCAATATAAACACGTCAAATGAGATTTTTTAAGTTAGGTCACTTTCTCAGGAAGTAAAAAGAATCAGAAATGTAATAAATAATTAAAAATAAGGAATTTTTTTTTAAAAAAAAGGTACCATCTTAACGGCTTAACCCCACATGCAAACCAATCCCTCGCCACAATCCAAAATCTTTTTTACAATAAAGATAAAAGAAAAAGAAAAAAAGGCAAGCATATGAGCTTTTGATGCCAGAAGGGAAAATCCATAACTTTTCCTGACATTTTATTTATTTGGAACCATTCAACATATTTCCTGACATTTTTATTATTTGGAACCATCAACATATATATAGTATATAATTAATATATATTTATATATATATATAAAAAATATATATATATATATTAAACTCCAAAGTGAAAAAACGTTAGGGAAAAAAAAAAACTGACATTTTTTTGTGATAAAATTTTACTTTTCTCATTTGGTTCCATCACTTTAAAAGATGCTCTGCTTCACTCTTCATCCTTCATAATCATTTCTTCACAAAGAAAGATCGAGAGAGAGAGAGAGAGGGAGAGAGAGAGAGAGGGAGAGAGAGAAAGTATAGTTTTTACATATAAATGAGATGGGCATAGACCAAAGCCAACCTTCCCCTTCTTCTTCTTCTTCTTCTTCTTCATTTTCATGTTACTATGTAGATAATGAATACATTGACATGGAATTGAGCTCCTCTAAAAATTTGTTTTGCTTCTCACCACAAAGCAAAGAGTTTGAGTTTCAAATGTCTTCCATTAATAATGATAAAGAAGTCATTTCTTCCCCAGCTGATGAACTATTCTACAAAGGCAAACTCCTCCCTCTCTACCTCCCTCCTCGCTTACAAACGGTTCAAAAACTCCTCCATCCCTCCACCACCGCCGCCGCCGCCACCGCCAATAACAATAAATGTGATTCTTTTCATCAAGAAAATGGATATTCTTTTAAAGAAAACTATTCTATTACTCCTTTTATTACTATTCCTACCTCCACCAACACCACCGCCACCCCATTGGAATCTTTCAATATTTCACCTTCAGAATCTAGTAGATTTAGTGGTGAACTAAACCCAGATGAGTATTTTTTTGAATTATCAACTGAACGTAATAGCTTCAATAAGAGTCCAATAAAGAAATCTTGGTCCAGGAAGTTAAAAAAATCTTTACTTGGTCAAAAGCTTAAGGCTTCAAGTGCTTATTTGAAGTCTCTGTTATTTACAAGGTCCGGTTGTGCAGATGAGTCTTCTTGCATTAAAGCATCAAGAAATTCTGATATCTTTGAGACTACAGATTGCTTAAGTAAGCACATAAAAGTAGCCAAGAAAAACTATTCATTTGGCGAAACACTAATGAAAAGAATTGAGAAAGAAATGAGTGCAGATATTTTTCATAGTCAAAGAAGGTCTTTCTCTGGTGTGATTCAACGACATTCGACGAATAAGTCATTGTCTTCTAATTCATCTGTGTCGTCTTCATCGTCATCTTCTTTTTCATTTAGTTCTTCAAGTGGGTTTTGTGATTTACAGTTGCTTAAAAGAACTGGCAGTGTTAATTCAGTGACAGAGAGTTCAATTGAAGGAGCAATTGCTTACTGTAAAAAATCTCAGGAAGCAGTTGTTTTGTTAAAGAAAGATTAGTGCAAATGAAGTTACGGTTTATGTCATTGGCTGTTTAGTAAGAGAAGGTTATTGAGATGGGCATCTCATAATTTGTTATTGAACATTCTAAAGCAAGCTGTGTGATTTTTAGAAAGTTTATTGGTTAATTTCATTGTATATTATCAATGTCAAGATAATTCTTCTGGTTCTTTAATTACTGGAGGTTTTCATCTTTCTTCTATTATTTATTACTTGCACAAATTAACAACTTGAGAGCAATGATTATGTAGTTATTACTTATTTCCAGTAAGATGGATCCAAACTGTACTATTTTTTTAAAACCAGATTGTATTTCTATTAACTACAGAGAGTTTCCCCTCCTTTTTTATTTTTATTCAAAGGGGAAGGAAAAATGAAGGTTGAGATTGAGAAGACTAAAAATTTTTTGATCAATAGCTCTTGGGCTAATGCCTAATGATACAGGAAAATCTAGCTATATTGATTATACATACAAAAAAAATTGAAACACAATAAGAAAATGAGTGTTTATGCAAAAGGACAAGTACCGAGGGACAAGAGAAACAGGTGGGGACAGTCCGCTGCTTTAAGTTGAAAATTTTTATATTTTTTTATTATAAAATGACGAGTTTTTAATTTTTGAAAGTGCTTTATGGCTTCTTAACTCTAGAGTCTGAATTCGTCTATGGATAAAAATCCAGCAAATTGACATCGGATAGTCGAAGCAAATAAAGATACGAATGTCTTTTGAATAATAATAATAATAATAATAATAAGATAAAACAACAATAAAGAGCGACAACAATAGATATTAAACATGCTGAAAGATATTTTTGGCCAAATGCATACTTTCTCATGCACTTTGCAAAAAAAATCTGAGGACCTCTTGGATTTTGCGAATAACTCAACGTGCCCTTAAAATTATTTTTTATATATTTAAAATGTCTTTTGCCACGTTGGATAGTAGGATTGAGAAGCTCGTGAATTGCACTTGTGCCTACATGGCAAAACAGAGAACAGATGGCAAAATAATTTGCCATGTGGGATGCCATGCAAAGGTTGGTTATTGTTTCCCTCCAATGTAATAATTTTTATTTTTTCATTGTTATTTTTTGAAATATTGTGGAGAGACTTTCCATTTTGCTCAATTACCGTTTGAGAGAGAGGGAGAGAGAGAGTACAAAGTGAGATCTGGGGAAGAAGAAGGAAGAATCGCGTCAAGGCTGAAGGGTTTCTCGCATTGGCAAAGCTATGTACTTCTTCACCACCTCAGTTTTTTGTTTCATTAATGGCGTTGGTTTCTAGGTTTGAACAGTGACAATGAAATTAGCGGGGTGTTAAGTAACGGAAAGAAATAGTGTAAAGTTAGGTTTTTTTGAAAATAAGAGGAATGAGTTAGGGTTTTTTGGAGAAAAAAGTCAGTAGCTGAGGAATTGATTCCCTTTTGCTGACATTTTTTGTTTTGATTTGCTTAAACATGAACTTTATTTGCTGAATCCTCCATGTGTTAATATCCCCCCTTTTCCCCATTTTTTTATTCTTAATTTAGAATGGTTGAGAAGAGAGTAAACGTTAGATGGGTCCATGGAGGCACAATGGTTTATGAACCACATGCAAGATATATTGGTGGCATTGAAGTACTAGAGGAGGGAGTGCACATAGATAGGTGCTCATTGATTGATCTAATTCCTCAAGCAGAGGATCTTAGGTACAAAAATATAGACAAATTGTACTACAGGTGGTTGATTGCTAGTGAGACAGTGGTGTTTTCTAGTTTATACAGTGATGAAGATGTCATGTTTGCCCTGACCCTCATAGCTGATGCTGGAACCATAGAGGTTTATGTGGAGCATGGTGTTGACATAGCTGAAGTTGTTGGTTTAATTGAGGGAGTTAATGAGGAGAATAATGCGCAAGAAGAGAGTGGGACAGGGGCTAATGTGCAAGGAGAGAGTGGGATAGGGGCTAATGTTCAAGAAGAGAGTGGAACATGGGCTAATGTGCAACAGAGAAGTGGAATAGGTGTAAATGTCCAATACTCAATTCTTGAGGGGTCAAATGTGCAAGATGCAAATGTGGCAGGGACATTTAGGCAAGGGATAGGAGCTGGTTCACATAATAACAATAGGGGTTTTAGTAACAGTAGCAGTGAAGGAGAGAATGAGGCTGAATATATCTCTACTAAAGTCGAAGAAAGCTCCTCATCTTCAAGTGAGGATTATGAAGTAGAGGGAGAGGGGTCTAATGAGGGCAGTGATGTTAATGAGGAGCTGATTCGTGAAAGACAGAGGGTTAGAAGTTTTAAGAGGAGAACAAGGGCACCAGGTGTTGAGGAGGTTGAAGATGTATCCTTAGGTGAGGCAGGGACTGATTTTGGTTTCACCGGTGAGGATGACCTGAATGATAAGTACAAAGGTGTCACAAGGGGGATGAGCCTTAGATTAACAACTCAGATCCAGATAGCAGGGAAGTTAATGATGATGAATCACTAGATGGTTTTGAAATTATCTCAAAGAGGAAAAAGGGGAGGAACTTGCATTATGATCCTAATACAAGAATCCCTTATTAGGAATTAGATATGATATTTGAGAAAGTTTAAGAGTTTAGGAGGGCTATTAGTAAGTATGTTGTTACTAGGGGGGTTGACTTAATTATTAGGCCAAATGATAAAGATAGGGTAAAGGCTAAGTGTAGAAACAGATGTCCATGGGTCTTGTTTGTTAGTTTGGATGGTGAGAGTAAGAATTTCATAATTAAGACTTACAATCCAAAGCATCAATGTTACAGTACCAATAGAAATGAGTTGTGTAATTCAAATTTTATAGCAAGGACTTTTGAGGATAGGATCATTTCCCAACCTGGAATTAAGATTAGGGAAATTCAGGATCTTTGCAAGGAGAGTTGGGTGTTTATGTTGGTCAAACAGTTTGTAGGAGAGCAAAGATTAAGGTGCTAAGTAAGATAATGGGTGATTATAAGGTTAAGTTTGCAAAGCTACATGACTATGCTAATGAGATCAATAGGACAAACCCTGATAGTATGTGTTTTGCAAGGTGTAAAAGACTTGATGATGGAATGCAAATATTATTCAAGAAGTTCTATGATAGGTGTTATTTTTATAGTATTTTTCATATAGTTCTTAGTAGGAATTTTCGTAATTTTAATCACTTTAACTAATTTTTACTTTGTTTTATTTATATTTTTGTTCAAAGCTTCCTTGAATCATAATCCACTTGATCTTAAAGAAATTTGCAGGGTTTTGGCACAGAAAAGAGCAAATAAAGCAAAACACTCAGGCCCTAGCACGCCCTGCCCGTGCAAATCAGCACGCACGTGCTGAACTTAAGGAAAATCAAGTGGAGACTCAAACTCTAGCACGGCCAGACCGTGCTATTTGGCACGCCCGTGCCTGAAAGAACCTCAGGGCATGCTTGCTTAAGCACGCCCGTGATGCATTTCATCCTAGAGAGACAGAGCCTAGCACGCCCTGGCCATGCTATGGGGCACGCCCGTGCCACAGATTCTTCTCTGGACGAGTTGCGCAGCACGGCCGGTGCCAAGCCATCCATAAAACTCAGGCCCTGGCACGTCCAGACCGTGCAAAATAGAATGCCCGTGCTACGAATTTGATGCTATCTTGAATTAAGAACGCCAGACAGTCTATCAAATCAAGATCTAATCCTATTTAGGAAGATGAAAAGTCCTAATTGAGAAGAAATTTAAAGCCTAATTAGTTTCATATCTCCAAAAAGATTTCTTACTAAATAAGGATTCTATTTCCTAAACGAAGTCATATTTTCTCCCAAGAAGTCTATATAAAGAGAGGGGTCATTCATTGTAAGGGACATCTCCGGTCTTTAATAATTTGTGCCCATTGTTTCTTTTCTCTCCCAAAGACTTCAAGCATTCAAGATTCGTGCCAAGATTCAAGGAAGTCGTCCACGTTATCTATTGCCTAGTTTTTATTTCTAAACTCGTAATCTTGTTTTACTTTTTATTATTCACATTGATTATGAAATTTTATTCAAGTATTATTGAGTTTTATTTAATTATTGAGTTTTTATTTTTAATTATATGTCGAACTATAATCTTCAATACTGGGAATTTGATGTAGCTTAAATTCCTTTTTTCCAATTTAATAATATTTAGATTTTTGTTTTTCTTTGTTCAAGTAATAAATTTTATTATTGAACTTAATGATTACCAGGAGAGTTTTTTTTTCCCCTGATTGATTTATTTTCATAAATCACTATCGGAAGAAGGGATTTTTGATATGGAGAAATGTATAAAATTACAAATAGAATAATAACTTGAAATGTGGAAGCTATATGGTTTGACTCATGGAGGGTTTTCAATAAGTTAATGATCTTTAGGTTAATGAATTCAGAAAAACAAACCACCAAAACTTAAATAATTTTAATCCAATGTTTGATTACGCTATTGGAGTAGATAAGTTAAATTTAAAATTGAATTAGAAAAATAGCTAACACAAACATCGGGAGAAGTTGTTAATGATGTCTAAGGAATTGTTTCCACGAGCGCTGAACAATTAAATTGATTAGCAATACTATAAAATAAATTGGATACGAGTTTAAGGTGAAGTCAATCCTAGTTAAGCTTTAAAATCTTGATTTCTCTTTTCCTTCAAATAAACTGTTGCTTGAGGTTAAATTTTTTGTTCTCTTTTAAAAATTTATTTTCTTACAATAATAATTCTCCCTTTATTACCAGTTTAAATAATAATGAAAGATACATAATTTTGGTACTTGATATGGATAGAGTTAAGTGAAGTCAAAATCCCTAGTAGCTTTAAAATCCTTGATTTCTTTCCTTCAAATACTGTTGCTTGAGTTATTTTTGTTCTCTTTTAAAAATTTATTTTTCTTACAATAATTCTCCCTTATTACCGTTTAAATAATAATAAGTTAACATAATTTTGGTACTTGATATACAATCCTTATGGAGACGATACTCTACTTACTCTATATTACTTGCTACGATTTCATATACTTGCGAAAACCACTGTCATTCTATATGTGCTTGGATGCATGCAAAAAGGCTTTTTTAGAGGGTTGTAGCCAATTTTTGGCTTAGATGGCTTTTTCTAAAAGGTCCTATTGGAGGTCATCTCTTAGTGTGTGTGTCTAAAGATGGAAACAACTAGATGTTTCCTATTGCTTGGGCTGTAGTTGACATTGAAAACACAAAAAATTGGACTTGGTT